AGCGGCTCGCCGCGGAAGGCGTGCAGCACAAACGGCACCACGGCCGCGTCCAGCTCCGTCGCCGCAAAGTCGAGCCACATGTCCACCTGGCTGCCCTCCAGCGGCGTGCGGCCGTACAGGAAGCCGCCGCTCCGGTCGAGGCGCGCGATGTGGCGCAGGATGGCGTTCGACTCGAAGACGCAGCCCCCCTCCGTCTGCAGCACGGGGTAGCGGCCGCAGGGGCTGAAGTTGCGGCAGTAATCCGCCGTCTCGTTCTCGCGGCCGTACTCGCACGGCCTCAGCGTCACGGGCACGTTGGCGAGGGCGGCCGCAGCCAGAATCTTGTGCATGCGCGCGTTCTCAGGGCTCACACCGCTCCACAGCGTGAGGGACATGGCGTGTGTTTGTTTGTGTTTGTGTGGGTGTTGGCGTTTATACTTGCAAGAGCAGCTGCGCGGCACAGGCGAGAACAACGAGGAAGAAGGGGAGGAGTGTTTAAGGTCAATAAATTGAACTTAAAGTAACTTTATTGTGCTGACAGCAAACGTGAGAGATGTGGAATGCTGCTGCCGCCGTAAGAAGCACGAGATGATGCAAAGGCTTGGCGCAGGAGTGCTTGTGGCTGGTGGGGTTCCGTCGGGTCCCGCACTGCCTCAGTTGTGCAAACGAGCGGGGAAGGTGGTATCGGGTGACGGAGGGGGAGCGCGGAGCCCCGTCTTGCAGCCACTCGCTCTTTCCCTTCGCCACCTCCCCTGTCTATGAGTTTAGGCGGGCACCGCACAGCAGCATGAAGCGCAGAAGAAAGCAGGACGGCAGTATCCACGTCAAGGAAGAGAATAAGAGGTGGAGTGGAGTGGAAGGAAAGGGAGGGTGATTTATCGACAGAGCCGGGTTGCGTGGCTCTCCCCCAATGTGCCGCCTCCAGCTGTTTTTTTTTCGTTTTTTCTTTGTTCCTGCATCATCTGCTACACCCACCACTGCCTGCCTGCTCTAAAAGAAGCTGCTGAGCTTGACGGTGCTCCCGCTTTTCCGCGTGCGTCCGATTTGTCCGTCTCCGATGCGGTCGCTTCTTCTTCAAAGCCGCATAACTCTCCTGCGACGCCGCCACAGGCTCACTGTCACTCTTCTCCCCTCCGGCAGGCGTCGTGCCGGAGTCGTCTAGTCCGATTGAACTCTCGTTCCCGTTGGGGCTGCGGCTGGTGGTGCTGTTGTTGGTGTCGCCGCCCCGCAGCTTCGCCCCCGCTGCGTGGCCAAAGAGATGTGGGTGGCTTGGCCCCAGCGCCCCAAAGAGGTAGTGCCAGAGGCCCACGTAACGTGCGAACTGCAAGTAGCGGCTCCCGATCGCGGAATTGAAAAGCGAGAAGTTCAAGATGGGCACGGCGGTGTCAGTCTCCGGGTGCGGTAGTGCGCTGGTTCCCAACCCCGCCAGCTCCGCGGCCCTAACGCAACTGCCGTGCGAGGCGACGTCCGCCGCCGTGGGTGGTGGCGTGGCGCTTGCCACACCACCTGCAGGGCCCCCCGCGTGTCGTGGCGGCCCCGCGACTAAGCTACTCAGCGGCTGCTCCGCCTGCCGTTTTTGCTGTCGCAAACGCAGCCGAGCCACCATCCTCCGCTCCGCATCGACGTTCACCTCAGTCCTCTCCTCGTGATCTACACCAGCAATATTTCGACTTCTGCGCTTGGCATCGATGGTAACGAAGGGTATCTGGAGCCGCGGCGGCATCAAAACCCTCTTCCCGCGTTCCTCGGGATCGGCGTATTCCTCAGCCCTATTTGGGTTATCCATCGTGATGGATAACGCGCCTACTCCCGCACGGAGGTTGTCAACATGTGTCAAGCAGCCAGCTTCCCCGACAGCCCCGGTATCAGCAGCCGGTCTTCGCAGCACTGGCAGCAGCTGCGGATACTCCTTCTTACGCTTCCGCACGGTTGTCTGGAGCAGTGTCAGGTCGCTGTCGGTGCGCATCGGACAGTCCGGCGGCACGGGGTCTGCAAACGCGTCCAGTGCCAGTGTCTCACGCAGCGCGAGAAGCTCCTCCCTAGTGTACGTTAGCCGCTCCATCCTTCGACAGCCTCCGTCCCGTCGCCTGGGCCGCCGCGCGTCCTGCTCGTCCCGATGCGTGTACTTAAGATGACCCTCCTCGACCTCTCTCCGCAGCAGTCACTGTTTTTTTTGTTTATGCTTGATTTATTTGTTAGCCTGGTTAGTGCGGGGAGCGGGGGAAGTTTCTTCGGTAACTGTGAAACGGCGCCAAGGGAGTGATTGAAAGGGTTCTCTTCTAAAGCCCCCGCCCCCCCCCCAAAAAAAAGGTCCCGCGAGACACACGTCGCCCGTTTCCCTCCACTACTGCCTCGACAAAACCCCAATCCACGCACGCACGCACAGAGAGCGAGCGAGAGAGAGGAGGGGGGAGGGAAACACCTCTCGACCACGAGTCTCCACAGCTCCCTGCGTGCAAAGGTGAAGCGGCGGCGGGTGTACGGCGAGGAGGTGTCGGGCCAAGAAAAGCAAAAGAGAAAGAAGAAAAGGCGAAACGTGCTGCCAGAGAGTGCTCCATACACACAGAGAGAGGGAGAGAGGGAGAGAGACAGAAAGCGAGGGATCTTCGCAGAGAGGCGTTGGGTCCGCGGCACGGACGGCAACTGTTGTGAGGACGGTAACGCCCAAGGGGAGGAGGAAGAGGT